GAATGTGTGTTTAGACAATATTTATCCCATCTCACCTCCTGACCCACCTTTTTCCTCCTCCCCAGACTATGTTCCTGCAACTGTGGCGCAGCTAAAAGACACAGCAAAGGTAACATCCTGAGAGTGCACACTCCAATGTCCTGCTGGTCATACAAATCTGGATTTACCAGACTTAGGGCTGCTTTTTGGGAGTTCTCCAGGCCCCAGGTGAACCCAGGGCTGTGACCAGAGCCACTGAATGACTCTAATCTTAGTCAACCTGAGGCACTTGAGAAGGGAGAAATAGGAGAGAGCTTGGCTGGAATACATATGCTCCTGGGTAGGGTCAGCATAAAGTAGCACTGGGAAAGGAGATGGGAAAATAGAGCAATTCCAGCTCAAAAAAAAACCCAAAAAAACAACAAAGAATGAGGAGCTTGGAGGGTGGACACAGCTCTAATTTGATCACCCCAAAGCCACAATTTGGTACCAAGTCCCTAATCTATTACTGAGCTCTCTCCTGGGACAAGCCTAGGGCTGACAAGCAGCCAATGTCCAAGCACAGCTTGGTAGGCACAATCTAACTCAGGCAACCAGTCCCTGCGCTTGCCAAGCTACCCAAGGTGACATCTCATTTCCTGCCTGCAGGTGGCTGAACCAACTGTCTCTAGCCCCCATGTCCTCAAGGTGCATTACAAATTCACAGTTGCCCTGAGAGTCGATCGAGTCCTCTCCTACAGGGAGCTCCTGGAGCTGGTTTGCAAGAAGCTGGACCTGCAGCCTGAGCACATGGAGCTGAGGTGAGGCACTGCCAGTCCCAGTGAGCCAGGGCTGTGTTCCAGGGCTTCTCACCTGCATCCCCTGTACACCAGGTACAAGCCTGTGGAGGGCCAGGAGCTGGTGACTCTGAGTGCAGAGAATGTGAAGGCAGCCTGGAACCAGAGCAAGGACAACTGCCTGACAGTCTGGTGCAATAGCATAGAGGTCAGTGACAGCTACAGGGAGCAGCTACCTTGTCATCCCTCCTGCCTTTGTTTTCCTTGCCACAAGCATGGGTTTGTGGCTTTCAACAGAAGCCACTGACCTCATGAAAGGCAGAGGAGCAAAGAGTGAGCGGAGAGGAGAAGCAGAGCTCATCTCTCTTACCCTGGTACAGAGAAAGGAAACCAAGCGGTCGTGTCCTCACCAGCTCGTTTCCTGCCTAGGGAGAGGGGTTTGTACCAGACAGCAAACCAGAGGAGTCACCGCAGGAGGCAACATCGGGAGAGACGGGAACAACCCATGTTGTAGCTCAGTACAGTTATGAAGCCACCCAACCTGAAGACCTGGAATTTCAGGCAGGAGACACAATCCTTCTTTTATCCAAAGGTAACTGTGCTCCTCCTGGGACAGGGGAGGGGAGGGTGATGTGGCAGCAGCAGAGCTCCTCCAGCTCTGCCTTGGGATTCCCATCCACATATCCCTTTTACACACACTTCTCCCAACATATTTTCGTCACTCCCATTTCCACCGCACACCTTCCAAACATCTAAGACAGGAGTTACACTTGGGCTGTGTTTAACTTATTGATCACAGTGGATTCTTTCAAGGAGAAAGATGGCCTCATTTTAGCTGCCATCCCCACAATGGGATCACAGGCTCTCACTCTTATTCCTTCCATCTGGAACCTTTTTTCATCTACTTTTCTTGTTAAGGGTACAATCTTGCATTATTTGTTCAGTATTAGTCCTTAGCGTTTCTATGGGAATTGAGGCTTAAATACAGACTAAATCTCAGGAAGATCAATGAAGAATTACATATACAGGGCACGTTCCCCATCTCACTTGAGCCTCTGAGTGAAATCAAGACATCACAAATAAGTTTTAAAGGCAAAAAACCCTTACATTTTGCTGTATGTAGTTATGCCACTAATTCGTGGTGGCTGGCAGGCTTTGGCAGCAGCACACAATCAGTCCCCCATCTAACCTTTGACAGGTTAGATTTTACACAATGTGATACTGATGACCCCCTCCACCCCAAAATCCTACCTTCGCCTTCATTGCTGAGCTAAATATTTCCCAATACCAAGCTGGTTCTTGCCTAATTTGGTTCCCCCAGAGCAAAATTGCCAGAGCTCATAGGCTTTATTTAACCCAGGGTAGCAGAGGTTTTGGGGGGTTGTTTTAGGGTTTGTATGTGAACATGGGAAACAGCTGACGAAATACTTCAGATGTATCCTGAAGAGGACAGACCAAGGTCTCAGATAATTTCCTTACTCTCCACACTCACTTTGTTTCCACTCAAGGCAGTTTCCAAGCACCCTGGTCTCTATTTTGATCCAACTTCTAACCCAAATTTGGTATTATTTCTTGTTACCTTACCACTTTGCTCTCTTTCTCATTCCTCCCTTTCCTCCACATTCCACTCCCTCCTGGGTGTAGCACAGCACTAAGTTTTATCAGCAGAAACATCATAAAATGGTGATCTCAGGCCTGTCTGCAGCACATTATGCTCCTGTACGTTCCTAGGATCATAAGACCTGTGTCAATTTTCTGTTCCAGTAAATGAAGACTGGTTCGAAGGCAAATGCAAGGGGAGAACTGGCATCTTCCCATCTGCATTTGTTCAATAGCTCAACACTGGACACCCAGAGAAGTGATTTCAGAAGAGCTTGAAGTTGTGAAAAGAAGCTACGAATTCAACTGTTGCCATTATGTAGTCTGCATATTAAACCCTGCATCTGAAAATGGACTTTAAATGTTATCGCTACTTGTATTAAAAGCTTTATTTTTTCTCTTACCTTTTGCGTTGTTCTTTTAAACAGGAACTTGTTAAGAAGTTGTTAATTTCTGTTAGGAATACATTAATTCCTAAATACTGTGCTTGCCAAGGGACTTGTCATGTTCCCCCCCTCCTTAAAAAAGCTTTTTTACAGACAGCCCAGAAGCTGGGAATAACCACAAGAGGGTGGTGCAACCTGCATTTACAGCCCAGCCAGCAGATCCCAAAGGGGAAGTGAGTTCAGGAAGCTACAGACCAGGAACGCATTTGCTTCCTTAAAATATTAGTGCCGACCCCAAGATCTTGGAAGACACCACATAGCCTCACCCTGCTCCATCCCACAATTCAGATTCACAGGGACTTTAAAACTCCCACCAATAAAAACAGACATTTTCTTCAGCACTGGGACCCCTGCTTCAAAGCTATTCCTGATCAGTCAGAAGATACAGTAACTTTGAAAGACACAGCCTGGAATCCCAGAGCTTTACTCCAAAGGTGCTAAGAGATGGCATCCCCACTCTGGATTCTATCACACAAGTCCAGAAAACCCCACTGCCCCATTGGCCTAAATATCACATTTCTTTTTAAATAAACTTATTCTGGAGACAATAAACACCTGTAAAATTTCAAAACCAGAACATCTCTGGAGTTTCCTATGATATACCTGAAAGCATAGAAACAGTGAACACCCTGGTCTGCAGGCAAGTTAGTGCCAGAAGGATCTGTACCCTCCATTTGCACACTGCACACACTGTACCAGGATGAGTTTGCCAGCAGAGAGGAGCTTTGCAGGCTGCTCCCATCCTACATACTTAGTTCAGTATGTAAAACACACTACACAGGCAGCACAAAACCACAACAAAATTATCTGTACCAAGCCCAAGCCAGAATTGCTGTGATTTATTTATAATCAAGAATCTTTATGTTATATATGAAAGGTCTCTTTCAAATTAAAAAAAAAAAAATCAACTTCAAACATTCTTCTGGCTTCTACAGAAAAGTAATGTATTTTTAAAGGCCTGAAGCCAAGTCACCCAGGAAATAAATGCTATACACAGACCTGGATGGAGAGAACATGGTTTAATTAAAGGCAAAGCTGATTTCGGCAGCTGCAGTTCTTGCACAGACAGACAGAAAACACAAAAAGCTTACAACACAAACCAGTTTCTGTTGGGAGCCCCTTCCCTTGCTCTTCCAGGTGCTGGAGGGCAGGCAGGGTCAGATGCATTCCCAAGGCCGGGTGCTTTTGCACGAGTGGAACGGTGCAGCTGGGACCTGGCACAGCTGGGAGTGAGATGGTGTTCCTGGTTAGCTCGTCTGGGGTGCAAGAGTCAGTGATGATGCGAACACGGGAATGTCACAGCTGCCTGGGTGCACAGCTTGGACACACACTGGGAGGGCTGGAAGGGACACACAGGGTGGGCTAGATTACCACCAAGTGGGAACTTCACTTTTTGGACTTGTTAAAGGAAATACAGCTTTGAAATGCAACACAGAACAGTGATGTTGCTAAGGTGGAGCTTGTAGGGAGCTTCTTGTACCCCTGAGGGTATTGTGTCTCCTCCACCTTCCCTTTTTGCATTCTCTGGGGCTGCCCAGACTCCAGTGTCACTTCAGCTCCTGCATGTGCTTTGTTCTGCAGCTGAATTCTAGCCCAGAGATCCTGAATCATCACAAAAATCCCTACTGCTAAAAACAGCAAATGGACATTGAATCTGTTTCTGTAACTTCCCTGGGAAATCTAACAAAAACACTGTCCTTTTCTTTAACAAAACTTCCAGTCTTCCTTCCCCCTAATAAATAGCAAATAAAATGTCTTTTTCCTTTTCCCTTCTGCACCTTTTCATCTATGAACAGTACTGTGCTGTTTCTGTGTGTCCATGGGTGCCTTGGATTTGTTTCTGGCACTGAAAGCCTGGGGCTGCAGCTGGGACAGGTTTCTGCAGAGCTAACCCGTGCCTCATAGGGCATGTGTATGCCCCATGCTATCTGGGCTGACTGTCAGATTCACCCAGCCCTGCTGGACCCCTGATTATTTTCTGCCATGGTAATGAAACTATAAGCGTTCAGTGAAGATGGGAGGATGGAAAGAGAAAAAACACCAAAATAAACAAACAAACAAAACACAGAAAAAACAAACAAAAACCCAAACAAACAAAAAAAAAAACCCACAACAACAAAACAAAAAAAAAAAACCCAAAAAAAAAAAAAAAAAA